TAGTTGACGTTGGCCCTGCCTTGAGTAGGAGGTTGGACTATATGACCGTCTGAGATCTCTTCCAACCCTAATTTTCTATGATTGTCTGATACCTTCTGGTGCCATAATGAAGTGAGTATCCCTGAGAACTTGTGTATATGACAGAGCTCTAACCAGGAGCACCCACAGAAGGATGGGGATTTAGCAACCTGCAAATCTCCGTCTTTCATCCGTGAGCAATGATGTGCAGATCAGGCTTTTTTAGGAGCCATCTCTGGGAACCTACACCTACAATTTAGTTGCCAACCACTGGAATGATACCTACTGATAGAAACACTGGCTGGATGGCACAATACTATTGTCGTAAGGAGATGGTACTTCTGGAGGAAGTACTGGTGCACAGTGAGTGTGATGACTGCTAGTGAGTGTAGCACAGAAAAATTAATGGATCAAAAAAACTGAGCTTTCAAGGATCCATAACAGACAAAAAGCCTTCAAAATGTAAGCAAAAAGTGCAGGGCTAAAGATGTAGTTAGGGGAAGAACCAAGAGGGATGGAGTCGTGAATCCAATGGATTTTGTGAATTTACCAATGGTAGCAAACAGGTCAAGGAAGATGAATAGGGAGAGAAGTCCAATGGCTGTAGTGTCTAAGGCCATGGTCGCCAACCGGTCAATCACGAGGCCTTCAACCAGTCGATCGTGAGGCGTTTGAGCCCCCCCATTTCCCCATCCCCCACCTACCTCCAGTGAAAATGGAAGTAATGCTGGCTTCCCGCGGGGTGGACGGAAGTCCTGCAGCTTTGCGCCACTTCTGGGTGTTCCGGAAGTGCGCTGGCTGCTCCCCTCCCTAAGTTCTTTGGCGTGCCAGGAACTTGCCTGGAGGGAGTCCCCAGAGGAGGCGCGTGTGGGGGCTTCCCTGATCTGCGGGAGGAGTGAGTTGGTCCCAGAGGAGGCGCACACAGGGGCTTCCCTGCTCCTCAAGAGGGGGAAGGGGAGGGGGAGGGCGAAGTCCAGGGCACCCTATCCCTTCCCCTGGCACCCTGTTCCCTTTCTCCTGTTCCCCACTGGCACCCTGCCCCCTGCTGCAGAACCCTGTCCCCTCTCCCCGGCACCCTCTCCTCTCCTGCAGTTCCCTGCTGCAGAACCCTGCCCCCACCCCAGCACTCTGTCCCCTGCCCCAGCACCCACTAGCACCCTCCCCCATGTCTCCTGCTCCCACCAGCATAGCTGGGGCCACATTATTTAACAAAACTGGGGGAGCGGGAGGAGGTGAAACTGGTGAGACTGGAGAAAGGAGGTGGGAGAGGGGAGGAAAGAAGGTGGGAGAGGGGAGGAGGAAGCCTGGGAGGAGGGAGGTGGAAGGGGGAGGCAAGGGGAAGAAGGAGGAGGGGAAGCTCAGGGCTCAGGGTTGTGGGTCTTGCCAGACCAACTTGATTTTCATGAGAACCTGCTCCTGGATTTGCATGTGGCCTTTGGTGGCCAGGCTGGCAGCTATCCTGCCATAGATGACCGCATTCCTTTGTCTAGTGTGGAGATCATGGACGTTGGGGGCATCCCCTCCAAACCTAAGTAAGGTCCACCCTGATCTCCACCCTGGACCAGGAAGCCACCCACCTTCTCTAGGCCCTGGCAGGCTCCTGGGAGCTGGCAGACTGCTCCTGGGGCAGTGGCTTGCGGGCTCATGTTTTGAGGCCACTGGGTCAGGGGCTCCGGTGGCCACTGCTGTCTCTGGGCTGGCAGGCTAGGAGCTGGCACAGGCACTGTGGCCAGAGTCAAACCCTTTAAGGGCTCCGGGGAGGGAGGGGAGGGAAAGGAGTGTTCTTGTTTGAGGTTGGAGTGGCCACCAGGACACCCTGGGAAGGCTGGAGGCCCCCTATTTCGAAATAAGTGTCTACACAGCACTTATTTTGAATTAGCTATTTCAAATTTGGCATTATTCCTTGTAGAATGAGGTTTACCAAATTCAAAATAAGTGCTCCGCTATTTTGAATTTATTTCAAAATAGCAGTTTGGCTGTGTAGATGCTAGTAAAGTTAATTCGAAATAACGGCTGTTATTTTGAATTAACTTTGATGTGTAGACATACCCTGAGTGAATGAGTGTAAGACTGGAGGCTGTGTGAATGTGTGTAAATATGTGCTTGTATTATATGGCTGTAAATAGGAGTGGATTTATGGCTTACTACAGAAGGGTACAGATTTGAATGTGTATGTAGATTAAGTAGTGTAATATCATCATGGGGGTTTCTGGAATGGTAGCATAGATATCAGTGAAGGACAGCGTAATATTAGTCCGAGTAGTGGTGTAATGGTGGAATGTAGGCATTTAGGAGTGTACATGTGAACTGGTGTCACATAGGTGTCTGATGTACAGATGAAAGCTAGGTGGCTATGGAGGAGGATGTCAGATAGGTGTGCTGGTGTCAGATACTCTCCTGGCTGTGTCTAGGCGTGAATGCTGTAATGTACAGAGCTGGCTGAGAACAGCAAAACAGTTAAGCAGTTTCCTTCCTTATTTCTCATACCAAGATGCAGTTTGTATAGAAGTAAATTATTCTACATGCATCACAACAATCAGAGGCTAGATCTAATGCTTCCGCTAAGGAATATGGGGTGGAAAAGGTCTAGTATGCTAGGTTTTTTTAAAGTATATTAAAAAAAAAAAAAGTCAGAATTTTACATAGACTATGAATGATGGGACACAGCCTCTCTTGTCTAATTAGACCCCAACTTCATACAACTGGAAATTTCAGGGGAACCTGATATTTTCTATACTTCTGGCTGTGGTTCCAGCAAGAACTCAGACTACAGAGATGCTCAAAAATAATTTGAAGAAAAAGATAAGCCATGCACAATTTTGTTCACCACGAGAACACTGACAATAACTCATATTAGTTGCAAGAATCCATAGAAGAGCCAGAAGACACTGCCAGTCACTATATCTTCCATGCTAGCCATGTTCTAATTACAACAGATTTCATTTCCAAGCATTTGGTGTGTAATTTGCATTTGAATAACATGACTGAAAGATACCCTGTAAAAGTTGATTTTTTTGCAAATTAAAGAAGTCCTTTTTTTAAGAGTAAACTCAATAGATGTATTCTTTTCTTCTATAAGGAGCATGTGTAAATTATTGGGAGTCACTAAAAGATGCTATTACAAATACTCTTTCAAGATCTATTTCATGGATTGTATAGACAATTAGATCTTGGAGAAATGTGTATTGTGAGTCAGGATATAGTTCTTTTGAGAAGCTGTGCATGCTGTTAGTGATGCACCTCACTGCCTTAGTGTCTCTCTGAGTGAATCCTTTATTATTTGCAGGGACACTGCCGGCAATATATACCCAGGCAAGCCAACAAAAACATGATGTAGGGCCCACATTACATGACAGTGTTGGGAGGTGAGGTGGTGTATCAGATCAGCCTTTGATTTTCTTTATAGTTTATTTTTCTTGGCCACATTCCAGATTATTATGTATGATTTTAAAATTTTAAAATACATTACAAAATTACCCGGCTTTTCTTTTGGTCTTAGAAAAGATTCGTGTTTCGAACAAAGATTCTGGACAGTTATTTTGATTGAATCCATTTGCCTATCCCTACTCCCTAAATTCCAGGGGCAAGGAGACACATCCACTAATAGTCATTCCTACTTTGCTTTGCTGGCTGGATTTCCTATCAGAATGACAGAGGAAAGATTCTGCTAGAAAGGATGAAAAGGTAGTGATGCCCCAACATGAAAGGATAGGAGAAAAGATCAGTTCTGGCCTGGACATAGAGAAAAGGAGACTAGAAGTTGAACTTTGGTTCTGATGCTGTCTCCCCCGCCCCTCATGTTTGCCCATCTGGCCCTAGAGAACCCACTCAGTGGAACAGAACTTTGGAGGTCTCATCCATGCTGTGTGGATATCCAGGCAGTGCAGCAATGATGAATACTGATTTTAGTTCTGCAAAGCTGCCAAATCTCAGTGCCTTGATTTTAAGCTCCCAGCCACGTGGGACAAAACTGATAATCAGGCCACTGAAAACACATCTCTATCACTAGGACTGCATTGCACAGCTCTGACACCCCCCTCTTAGCTCAGAGTTCATAACAGGTTTAGATTAGGGCAGCTACTTTTTTGCATTGAAATCTCTTTCCTCTCCCCCACTCAAAAAAAAAAGTTTGTTATTTTTTCAATGTTAAGAGGTATGGTAGAGGACACAATCCCATCCTCCGCAGTTGCTAGCACAAATAGCTCTTCTTGGCCCACTGCAGTTGGCCTGCTTAGCACAACAGGAGTGTGTCTACACTACAGAGAAGATTGAAGCTGCCACTGTCAATCTTCCAAGATTCAATTAGTGGGTCTAGCGAAGACACATTAATTCGAACTGAGAAGAGCTTCCTGCTTCCACGAGGAGTAAGGGAAGTCGAAGGAAGAGTGATCTCCCTTTCACTTCCTGCAGTCTGGACAGTACCAAAAGCTGAGTTAAGGTACTTCGACTTCAGCTACGCAATTAATATAGCTGAAGTTGAGAAGCTTAATTGATCTTATCCTGTAGTGTAGGAATACCCCAGGGCTACGTCTACACTGGCATGATTTTCCGGAAATGCTTTTAACGGAAAAGTTTTCTGTTAAAAGCATTTTCGGAAAAGTGCGTCTAGATTGGCAGGACGCTTTTCCGCAAAAGCACTTTTTGCGGAAAAGCGTCCATGGTCAATCTAGACGCGCTTTTCCGCAAAAAAGCCCCGATCGTCATTTTCGCAATCGGGGCTTTTTTGCGGAAAACAAATCTCTGCTGTCTACACTGGCCCTTTTGCGCAAAAGTTTTTCAGAAAAAGACTTTTGCTCGAATGGGAGCAGCATAGTATTTCCGCAAAAGCACTGACACTCTTACATGAGATCATCAGTCCTTTTGCGGAAATTCAAGTGGCCAGTGTAGACATCTGGCAAGTTTTTCCAGAAAAGTGGCTGCTTTTCCGGAAAAAGTGGCCAGTCTAGACATAGCCTAGGTGTGAAACTTAGCCTGCTATTCATGGATGGAGATCTGAACTGACCAGCATTTGAAACTTAATCATGTGATATTTATCTAGTACTTTATTTCCCAAAAGACCCCAAACATTGTTCACATGGGAAACACTTGGCCCACCACTGAAATGCAGCTACCTCTGGAGTGGAACACATCAGTTGTGTCACAATAAAACAGAACACCACAGAACAGTTTCAGAACAGAAGAAGATATCTGTATTAAGTGAACCTACAGAGGGGATTTGGGTTCGTTATAACCCAAGGCAGATTTTTAGTTCTCAGAAGACCAGAGTTAATATCTATACCAAAAATCCCAAGTGAAAAGCATTGAGTGGTGAGGTAAGCATTTAGAACATTGTTGATGTTATTATGAATCTCGTGGTATCTATGCTTCTCCCTTTGACTTTAAATACTGGATTGTTTCTATTACATAGTCCTGATTAAATGATATCTTGCCATCACTTGTATAGAAATAAACCACTCAAATCAGTGTAACCCAACCAAAATGACACTTTCTCCTTTCCAGATTTTAGGGATAGCTCACATAAAATACCCCAGGGGTGGATGGAGATGCATTGCTGAATGTTAGTGCACAGTGAGATGGAGAAAGGAGATTATATATAAGACCTCCTGTTGCAGCTTTCTAATGGAGAAAATGACAGGCAGGTTATTCAGGTAACAGGCCAGCTGAATGGCTTGGGAAGTTAAACCTACAATGTGAGACACAATAACACATAACACTTTAGATGGAGACACTGGAACTTGTACACATTCCAAAAAAAAAGAATGCAGTTTTCAGATAGATTCGAAGTGGGAATAAACATAGCTTTAGTAAACAGAAGTGCTGGAAAGTTAAGCAAATAAAGAAAAAAACTGAAGTGAATAGAAGGAATGTGAAAAAGACCAAGGAATTTGATTACTGGTTCCTAGCATGGAAACACACAGTTTCTGCAGACAAATTAAAGCGCATGCCTGAGCCCCAAACACAGCTCAGTGGTGCTATTATCTCCCCTTTAACATGCCAGCCATGTACTTGCCTTCCCCCACTCCTGCATCCACACTCTTGGGTCTTCTTTGCTCTGCCCCTTGGGCAGATTAGCCTTCTGCTGAGGAGTCATCCTCCTGGCTGGGTGTTGGTCCTTCTTCTGAGAACATGATTTTTTCTCAACCTCACATGTTTGTCTCTTGACACGGTTAGAAGGGAGAGGGGGAAAATCCCAAAGTTGGAGGAGGGAGGGGAGTTGTTACTGGGTCGATTTTATAAGTCCCAATTGTTGGAGTATCAATCAGATAATCCTTGGATTCCGTTAGGCGCGTCCAGCCCCAGCACACAGGAGCGAGTGACTGGAGCAAGTAACATTGCTTGTTAGCTTTTCCTGATCAGCTGAGAGGGGATCCAGCTAACTTGCTCCTCCTTGCACTGCCTAAATAAGGACATTGACTCACTGTAGGTTACACGGTGCCCCGTTCTGAAAGCATGTACTGCTAAAAGTATTCTGGCTCTTTGACTGAAATGCTGCACAAAGTGAGCATAGAAGGGAACCTGAACTAGATCACAAGGGGATTCTTCATTCCCGAAATGAGGGACAGGTGTCTTTGCTTTGCCAAAGCAAAGCCTCGTGAGGGCTGCATGCTATCGATTCACAAGAGAACACAACACTTCTGAGGTTTTGGTTCTGACAAAATACAGTTCTGGGCTGCTTCTTGGTGTGTTTTTTAAATTTATTTTTTTAAAGAAACACTGCACTGCCTTGATCATGGCAGAGACTGGCAAGAATGACTTTCAAACAGAAAGTTTTCTTGTTTTCATAGCACAGGCTCTCAGAGACTTAAAAAAAATACATGTTTGTTATTCCATCTGCCCTGAATAGCAATGGTTTGAATTATGCCTTATATTTTACTTAGGGCCTAATCCAAAGCCTACCAAAGAAAATAGAAAAACTCCTGCTGGCTCAAATGGGCTTTGGATCAGGCCTGTATGAACTCAAAGTTTTCCAAACTCCTCAAAATTTGAGGAGGTTTGGGAAGGCTCAAGCAATGTTTCTTTTTTGCCTGCTGAATCCTTCTGCACATTCCAGATATTAGGAAGCAACCTGGACTTTATTAGAACAGCAAACCCTTCCCCTAGCAAATCAGCCAGGCATTTCCCATTCTGTATTCTTTCCAGATAAAGTCAAGATGTGTAAGCAGAGTGGAAAAATTCTCACCACTGATGAAACTAGGAGGAATGTCACGTTGCAGGGCTGAGAGTGTAAGACAAACAAATTTAATGTTTTCACCTCACATTTTTCTCCATGTGGCAAAAAAGTAAAACTAAAAAAGGAAGGTGGTTTACTGGGAGAAAAAGCAGAATTTCTGTTGAATATGGATATTTCCACACAGGGTAAAATCTGCCATTGGTTCCAGAGTATTAACTCCACAGATCTTGCTTTGACAAAAACACACTTTAAAGCATTAGTGGCAAAATCATGCTATTGACAAATTCTTGCCCCATAGCACAGAATCTTGTTTTGCAGAATAAAAATTCACAGAGTCAGAATTTGGACCCTTGGAGCTTTGTTCGTTATCTTTGGCCCATTCCATCCCAGGCCTTACTGTTGAGTATGCTCAGAAAAGGTACCACCAACAACACTGGGGAGATGTGAATAGCCACCCACTTGCTGCTAGGTCTAGTCCTAGACACCCCTTGTCACTAAGGGTACGTCTAGACTACAGGGTTTTGTCGATGGAAGTTTTGTCGACAGATACTGTCGACAAAACTTCTGTCGACATAGAGCGTCTAGACACATTCAGTTCTGTCAACAAAGCAAGCTGCTTTGTCGACAAAACCCTGTAGTCTAGACGTACCCTTAGTGACAAGGGGTGTCTAGGACTAGACCTAGCAGCAAGTGGGTGGCTATTCACATCTCCCCAGTGTTGTTGGTGGTACCTTTTCTGAGCATACTCAACAGTAAGGCCTGGGATGGAATGGGCCAAAGATAACGAACAAAGCTCCCACTCTGAGAAGTGGACCCTCCAAGCCTGAGAGGAAGCATGGTGGCATGAGAGAAACTTCCCAGCTACTGTCCATACTGTTCCTATTCTGGGACACAGGACTCCAGTCACCATCAACACTAAGTTCACTTTTGTTTGTCACATGTATTTGTTGAGTTTTCTCTCAAATTACATTGCAAGCTCTTTGGACAAGGTACCATATCTTCCTCTACATTTATGCAGCACCTAGTACAGTGTAATCTCATTCCTAATTGCAGCCTCTAGGTTCTGCCACAATACTGTATAGACATTCAGATAGACAAACAGACAGACAGACAGACAGACAGACAGACAGATAGATAGATAGATAGATATGCATGGAAGTATGTTGGCCACACATTCATTCCATAATGGTAGGAGCCCTACAGTAATTATTTTGAGAGCATAAATCCATGCAGTGATGACACATATTCCTCCCTGGGACTATTTCCATAACTGTGTCCCCCTCACGTCAATAAAAATCATACTGATCACCACAGGCGTGTGCACAGGGTGTGCTGGGTGTGCCCAGGCACACCCTAATGTTTCAAAAGGCTGCCCTGGTGTGCTGGGGAACAGACGCTGCGCAGGGTTTGCCATGCAAGCGCGGCCAAAACCGGCAGGTGTTAGGTCCCCCGGGAAACAGGAGGCAGGGAGCAGCATCGTCTCCCCGCCTCCCTGGCAAGTGAGGTAAGTTTAAACCCTGGGCGGGGGGTGTGCCCCGGGCAGGGGATCAGGAGCAGCGTGGCTAGCCCGGGCGTCGGCTCTGCAACAGCGCAGCTGAGGGGGTCAAGTCAGGAGCAACGTGGCTGGGCTGGGGCTGGGGGCAGCGCAGCTGGCCTGGGCCCGGTGTCAGGGGCAACGTGGCTGGCCTGGGGAGGGAAGACCCGGGGTCGGAGGCAGTG